GGGCTGCAGCCACCCCAAATTTCACCATAGCCCCCCCTCCCAGTGCCTCTGCTGCCCACCCGGTGCAGCCCTCGCTCTTCCCAGTGCATGGGTGGAGGTGGAGCATTGAGCCAGAGCTGCCTTCCAGGTGGGCGGCACCACGCTGTAAGGGGGGCCTATGGCAAAATTTGGAGTGGCTGCAACCCCCACACCATAGCCCTCCTCCCAGCACTGCCACTGCCCACCTCTAGCCCAGCCCCCACTGAGAAGAGCCTGGCACAGACGGCTCCTGCCCGCAGTTTCAGCCTGCCCACACCTCCGTATGCAGACCCAGGGGCACATGTTTTCCCCCACACACACTCTGTTCTGCCTGGCTGGGCAGCCCCCAAAATCTCTATCTGTGCACCCCTACTGACAACCACTGAATTAGTGCAATAAGAGCTATGAAAAAGTAGGATGTTAAGATGAACTAAATGAACTACAAGAGTAAAGTTGTATCACTCAGTCAGGACCCACAGGAGTAAACTGTACCCACATTAACTTCCAAATAGTTCCTGAGCTGCTCAAGAGCACCCCAGGTGGCACTTGCCCACTGGCACCCAACCCAGGCGGTCCTGGGGGTCACTGCAACCACGGAGGGAAGCACTGGGCTCCTGCACAGCTCAGGCAGGCTCCCGGAAGAGGGAAAAAAAAGATCAGGCTTGCTGCTTTCTAATTTTTTTCTTCTGTGGAGCCTGCCTGCATAGGCTGCTGCTGGGTCTCACAGCCCCTTAGAGGTATTTTATTTTGCTACATACCAAACCCATTTAAAGCAGAATACACCACTAAGCATGCGAACAGCAATGCCATTAAAGCAGAATACACCACCAAACATGCAAACAGCAAAACTAATAAAGGGGCACAAAAGAGCATTTAAGTCCCAATTCAGTTGTGCAGGGGAAGGATTGTGGCCTTGCTTTGACCCGCTCCCCAGGGTTGGGATTTTGGCAGCAGGGTGGGGTGGCAGTATTAACTGCCACTGCTCCCATGACACCAAATTTCCCAACCCTTCAGAAGATCTGTTGGCCAGATTCCAAGGCTCCACAGGCTGCATTTAGCCCACAAGCTGGAGGTAGAGCACCCCTGCTCTAAGTAATTTAAAAATAAAATGTTTATTACCTTGTGTTAGTGCAACTGAGTGATAGTGTCCACAGGTGACCTGTAATACTCTGTGATTCAATAAACCATCTATTTTCCTGCAACAGATCACAGGATGACCAGATTAACCTGGCTTCTAGATAATAGGAAAAACTCAATTATGTTTAAAAAAATAAAAAGGCTTTATAAAACCTATGAATTAAAATCTGCAATACCTCCAAGCCTGCTCATTAGCCATTCAGAGTTTTCTGCATGTAGTTGTTTCACTATTAGATGATAACATGAATATAAGCATAATATTTTTACTTTCTTTTTAATGTAATTTTTCCTGTTGTTCAGCTGTCTGATATTCATGCTGAAATAAGCAGGCACCAGCTCATGATATCCCACAAGCATTCACAATGGATTGCTTACTTAACCACAGCAATCTAAGTAGTCTTTTTGACAAGCATTTGATAAACTCTGTAAGCACTACAGCTGGAGAGTACAGCAGCAGCTAGAGTTAAACACTGCCAACATGCTGCCCTGCTAAAAGTGTCCCTTCAGTTGCCCGTAGCTCTGCCCAGCTTTCACCCTTAGGGCTTAAGCTTTCTAGGTTCTGGCTTCTGCCCAACTGTGAATATATTTAGGAATACTTAAGTGAATATGATTCTGATATTTAATCTACTGTAAAAAGGTGGGGAAAATAAATATGCTGCATTTTTACCATCATGAGCCTTATTTTTATCTTTTGAAGAGATCTGGTGTTTTACCAGTTTGGGATAAAATTTTCAAATTTAGTTGAGGACTGGCCATGGGTCTGACTCTTTTGTGGTCTGATAAAAATCTATCATGGGCACTTTTACATGTGCTCCAGGGGTGTTGGGCGGGGGGGTGCTTTAATTAGAGTATCTCAGAGGGCCACTCTAATTAAAGCCCCCCCCCACACACACACACACACACTCCTGGAGCATGTGTATAAACACCCTAGGTGCCCACAAGTTTTACAGTACGTGTTTTGGGCCAAATTCAGCACTAACAGGTAATGTAAATCACACATCAAATAGGTGAGAGTCTGAAAAAAGAAGTTACCTTGCTTTGCTGCATACATCCATTGTTCTGATATTCACAGAGGCTAAAAACTTTTAACCTTCAAGGATCACTAATTTGGGTATGCAAATAAGACTGGTATCTCCTGCTTTAACTTGTGACTGAATCATCCCCCAAAAGTCAAGGCACAAATCCTGCTCTGACGCAATTCCCATTGACTTGATAAACATTTACTATATTTACTTGAATCTAAGGTAACAATGAATTTAAGACTAGATCAGATTCTTACACGGAAAATTTATAATTCTGTTATAATTTTCCATGTATATAATTTAATTATTGGAGAATTGTCTTTAATTTGTCCTCCACCCCTAACTGCTGCAGGGGGGCAGGTGATATGGGGAAGTTAACTAATTTGCCCCTGCCCCAACAACACGTCTGTCCCCTGCCTTCTCTCCCTGCAACCTCCAGTGGTTCAGGCCAGAAGCTGTGGGGCGCTGGAGCATGGCTCTTTGGCACATAGCCAACAGAGGCTGTATGTTTCTTCCTCTTCCTGTTGCCTCCAAGGTCTCTGGGATTTACAGTCCAGAATTACAGCTGTAGGACTCTGCAGGGTTGCTCATCACTTCCTCTTCCTGCTTCCAGGTGCCTCAGGGATTTGTAGTCCCCAGTTACAGCCAGCAGTAAGTTTGAGTGGGGGAAGAGGTGTTTAACCCTCCCCATTGGCCACAGCCCCCAGCCATGGTTTGCCTGGCAGGGAGGGCAGTCCCTATCTTCCCCCCTTCCCCCCACAATCCTTCTTGGTTGGAGCAGACAGTACAGACCAGACCAGGGCTGGAAAGCATGTTGGGATGCTGAGGGACTGTGATTTAACTTGAACCAGGAAGGGGTCTTGGACAGAGGGGTCTGGGATATAAACCAGTTTGACACAAATCAGTTAAGACTGATAGTACATTCAGCCAGGTTTATCTTAAACCAGTTTCAGCCATTTTGGAACTGGTTTATGTGCACTAAACTTCTGTTCTGATACAGGTTTATACTAGTTTCTGATGACTTAAACTGGTTTATATGTAACTTCTGTCCCTAGCCCATCAGAAGTACTTTTTTTTTTCTTTTCTAAAACCAAATGTTCATGGTGAGGATAGTACAATTCATCATTGCTATGGGGCTCTTTAGCCTGGAAAAGCACAGGCTCAGGGGTGATCTGATGGCCACCTATAAATTTATCATGGGTGTTCGCCAGGATCTGGGGGAACGATTGTTCACCAGAGCACAAGGTCAAACAGTTATAAACTCCATCAAGATCATTTCAGGCTGGACATAAGGAAGAATTTCTTTACTGTCCGAGTCTCCAACGTCTGGAATAGCCTGCCATCGGAGGTGGTTCAAGCATCCACATTGAACGCCTTCAAGAGAAATTTGGATGCTTATCTTGCTGGGATCCTGTGACCCCAGCTGACTTGGATGATCTTCTGAGGTACCTTTCAAACCTAATGTCTATGAAATCTATGAAATCCACCTCTGCTCTCCCTCCTGCCCCTGCCCTCAGCCTCTGCTTCTTCTTCTCCCCTCCATCTCAGCCTCTACTGCTTGGCCTGCAATCTCCCAACCCCTATAGGAGCCATGTGGGTTGTGTGCCACTGCTATGGGCAGGGCTGGGGCCATGCTCCATGCCCCAGGCTACAGTGTGCATAGAGCCAGCTTGCACAAAGCAAGGGTAAGGCAGGGAGGGAGAGGCAGGTGGGGGAGCAGAAGCTGCACGTATGGTGGGGAGGAGATAGGAGAAAGAGGCTGCAGGGGAGAGATGACACGGTGCAGAGGTAGTGGGGTTTGGGGCATGGGCAGGGGCTACAACCCTGGGTAGAGGCTACAGCCCAAGCCACAGCAGTCACCTGCCCTGCCACTGCCCTGATACTTGTTTCTAAGATGAGGGGATTTCCCCCCATATTAAATGGAGGGAGGAAATCTCATCTTACAATTGAGTAAATACAGTAAATGTGATCATATTGTGCGGCTGCTATTGACAGCAGCTCCCTACTGAAACTCAATGGCTCATAAGGTCCCTTCCAGTTCTGTGCTCCTACATTTCTAAGACACTTACTCATATGATATCCACTTGTATCAGGCCCAGTATTGTCCTATACTCACAAGTTGATAAAATGACCTACAAGTAAGTTTTGTAAGTGCATTTTAAAAAAGTGTAATATGTGAAATCCTCAAGCAATTTTTTCCTCTAGGCATCTTACATTAAATGAATTGTATGCAGCAGAAAAATCTCTTCCAACCAAGCTACAAGCAATGGAGGTTCTATCGTGTTACTCTAATTGGTAGTTTATGATAATTTTCTCTTTGCATACAATTTCTTTCCCCTTATATCCAAAATGTGTTGCTAGTGCCAGTGAAAGAGGTGCACACAAACTTCTCAGGTGTGGAAACTTGTGTGGAGGGCCTCATTTCATGCACACCTTTTTTAAAGACAACTATCCATGACATTAAATACTCTGCAAACTTACCTCCAGAATTCCATCCTAACCTCTCAGTTTTGCCTGTTTAACTGTGACCAATGTTATCCACTGTCAGATTTTAGAGTGGTTTGAGCAATGAGCACAAAAGAAAGGACCATGATGTGGGTCAGAAGTGTTATGCTTAAATGGTTACTTACTTGGGGATAAAACTTTGTTCCTTAAATTCTCCAGTGCCCAGCTGTCCTTCAGACCCAGCTCCCCAGGAAAAAACCTTTCCTTCATTGCTAACAGCTAGCGAGTGTTCTTTCCCACAGCTCACACGAGTAATAATCTGTGCTTCCAATGCTTGGACTTGCTCTTTCAATGGAGACAAAAATACAAGTTACAAAAAGAAAAGTCATGTTAAAAAAACATACCTTCTTACAGCAAAAGATTAGTTATGCACCTAGAAGAAAAAGAATATTGTGGCAATGTTGGAAGAACTTTACAAGACTTTGATATTACAGAAATATTTAGTGTGATCAGACTAAAATCTTAATTCACCTTTCCCAAGTTTTCTGTTCTTTTTCTGTATTTGTTCATTAGAAATTGTATAGTATTTTTATTTGAGAAGCTAACTTTTCGTCTTTGATACCAGAGACAGTTCATCATATGTTCATAATACCCCAAAACCATGGCATCCAAGATCTGGTTCCCCAGCAATCCACCAGATGAGCTAGCAGAAAAGCTAATATACAGGAGCAGGAAATTTTCCTGGAAGCCATGATTCTGTAGGAATCCTGCATGTGTTTCATCAAAGGTTCATGGAATTGGATATGTTGCTATGAAACATTTCAGGTCCTGACAAAACCAGGTCTAATCACTCAATTCTCAGTTCTACTTACAAACTAAGATACACATAGAGAGAAGGCCAGGTACCCTGGATTACCTGAATAAAAAAACTTGGAGGTCTGGGGTCTTAAGGTAACACTGATCTGCCCTAAGTCCCAGCAGATTTGAAGAGCTGATCTCAAGTTCAGTTTTATACTGCTCTGATACTGTTGTGACTACATGTCGATCTGGTTCCCCCTGCACCAAGACATCTTAATATGAAACCTTAATTACAAACTGACACTTTACCTACTAACTTGACCACTCAGGCCAATGCCAACTCACTGATGCTCCACTGGATGCTTCCAGGGTTTGTGTTGAAGGAATTTCAACTCATAATCATCTTCAGTTCTTTGAAGAAAACTCACTTCCTATGGTATCATGGAAACAGTGAACATATGAACAAGGGCAGAGAGCTATTTATAACCCATAGTAAACCACAAGACTTTCAGTTTATGGACTAGACAAATGAAGAGTTTATAATAGGCATTTCAAAACCATATAAAAAGGTTATTATGGATCCCTGGGGCATGTTTTTAACCCTCCTGTAAATCAGAGAAGTTGAGAGCATGTTTGTAAAGGTGAATAGTTTGGTATTACCAATGCAACAGTCCTCAAAAAGGAGGGATCCACGCAGGGATTTACAGCGTATAATCCAGTTACACTTCAACAGAAGTGTGCAAAACAGGAGGCAATCTGTACAAAAGAGATTATCGGCAGCCTTTTTTCTCATTACAGTGCCAAATATGGCTACTATCTCAGCCAAATACAAATTTTCAGGAGACTTTTTTTTATTAAAACTGTAACTCCTCATGCATGTATCTTCCTCAATATCACTAATATGTTTTAGCAGAGAATATATGTGTATACTTTATACCGAAAATCCCAACTGATGTTTTTTGATAAACTTTCTTTGCTTAATGCTTGCTGTTGTATGTGTCCACTTTTCTAACTAAGAGCATATACATTTATACTTCATGTGGTTTCACTAGAATGATTCTGACACCCTGTGGTTTGGATGTTTTTTATCCATAATCCTACAGCAAAGTCTATGGTGCCATGTAACTACCGATTGCTCTGCTTTAATCTTTAGGGACACAGCCTTTGGTTAACAGCATAACACTCTCTGCTGAAATATGAGTCATCTTGTCTGCATTATATGAAACTTGACAACATTCCAGCTATAAGACTCTGTGTGTGTGTGGGTGTGTGCGTGCATGCCCACATATATGTATATGCATTAGGGCTCTGCGAAGCTTCAGTTGCTGATTCGATTCAGAGGAAATTTGGCCAGATTTGGCAGCCAAATTGATTCAAAGCCTCTGAATCAATTCAGAAAAGATTCGGAGAGATTTGGAGATTCGGGCAGTCCCTGCTTGCCGCTGCTGGGAGCTAGACCTGTACTCTGTGCTGGTAAGTGGTGGGAGGAGTGGGGGCTGGAGGAGAAGGGAGGGGACCATGGGGGACCCCCGGCAGGCTCCATCCCCTGCCTGCTCTCCCAACCCCCAAGACTGCCCCCAACCCCCGCCCACTCGCTCAGCCCTGTCAATGGATGCCCTGCTCAGCCCCAGCGTCCCGGTGCTTTAAAAAAAAAAAAAAAA